GAAATTCCATGCCTAGTAAGTACGACAGCTTTTTCATATCCGACATTTCCAATTCCTTTTTCATCAGTTCTTTGAACTTCGACAAGTTCTACAAGCTACTTCCAGTTACTAACAAGTGAAATTCTGGTATGCAGATATCAAATGTCCTAAGAAATGTCGAGACACTGATATCTATTTAAAACACAAGGACAAAATAAAGCACAATTAAAGGAACATAAAATAACAGAACACAAAGAGTTGTTAACCCAGTTTGGTGTACAACAACACCTACATCTGGAGGCTACCAAGCTAGGAAGGAAATCCATTTTAGTATCAGTTTGTAGATCTTCAGCAAACTATCTCCAACCTACAATCTACTCACCTAATCACTTTTTGTGCTTAACTTCTACCTAAGACTCACCTAGGTATGAGATCCCTCTCACTTCCCTTTTAATCACCATCGTGGAAAAATAGTAATACTTTGAAAGTTTTAGAAGATACACTTCAAAGACACACGCTCACTCAATGCTTAAAAGCTTAAGAGTGATTGACAGAACTTGCAACTCAATAGAGTCAGTCCTACTCTTATATCAAGATGATATTAGAGAGGTTCACAATTAACATGAACACACAAACCCTAAAATATCACTAAATAACAATGCATGTTTCAAACCAGAATTAGGGTTGTGCCATCTTATATATAAACATTGACTAGACTGGATTTGGGCTTCAAAAATGCAGCAAGTCAGTTGCTAAAAGTTTGAAGATTATTCTCCATAAAAATAGGTCTTCAATCAAGGGTTTCCTAAAATGTCTCAACATTTAGAAAAACATAATATCTTTAAATTCAAACAGAATCTCTGATTCCTTAATCTTGGACGCCACATAGGATCACTTAATATTCATATAATATTCAGTAATTTGTAATTAAACCAACCGTATCCAAACTGCAAAACTGAATAGACAAGATGTCAAATCTTCGTGTTAGGACATCTTGTTCAACATGTTTTTGCCTAGTTAGTTTTGCCAAAATTACTGCCAATCACAAATACAAAGACTTAACAACAAGTCACCAACATATAAGCAAATGATTGTTATATCTTGTGCCACATATGAACATAGACACCATACTCAGATTTGCATTTGATGAATCCCAATTCGACCAAATATGAGTTGATATTCTTATTCCATACCCTAGGTTGCTTCTTGAGACCATAGAGCGCTTTGTGCAACTTGTATACTTTACTTGCTACCTCCTGAGTCACAAACCCAAAAGGTTGTGTGACATACACCTCTTAATCTAAAGGTTCATTCAAAAATGCCGATTTCACATCTAAGTGAAAATGTCAATCAACCTTGATTGCATGCCAAGGTTGCCACTAGTCGAATAGTTTCTAATCTTGCGATAGGTGCAAATACTCCAGAGTAGTTGAGTCCTTCTCTTTGAAGAAATCCTCGAGCTACCAATCTCACCTCATGTCTTGCTACCGACCCATCAACATTGTGCTTTAACTTGAACACTCACTTCACTTCAATAGCTTTTGTATGTCCTGGAAATTTGACCAACTCCCATGTATTGTTTCTTTCGATTGCTTGTAACTCTTCGACCATAGCAGACTTTCATTGTTTATCTTTGAAGGCTTCTATATAGTTGATTGGTTCAACACCTGCAAGTAAAGCAAAATGAACTAGGTCTTCGTCTGTTGTGACTTCATAATCACCAACCATTTCATAGTCTTGAAGTGTTGTCGGATGAGCTCTAGTTCTTTGAGGTACCTGGCTTGTTCCAGCCATATCCTCTTCGACTAGTTCAGGTATGTCAGTAACAACTTCGACTTCAACTGGAAATCGATAGTATCTTCGACTTCGACATCATTACTTGCTTCGTCGAAATCATAGTTCATCAATGACTTGTCAATTGCATTACTAGAATTCCAATCCCATGCGGAGTTTTGATCAATCACAATATCTTGACTCATCACAATCTTCTGATTAATTGGATTGAATAATATGTATGCTTCAGTCTTATGATATCCTACCAGAATCGTAGGTTCTCTCTTATCATCAAGTTTCTTTCTCCTAGCATCAGGAACATGCTTGTAGAAAATAGATCCAAACACCTTTAAATGACACACCGATGGTTGTTTTCTACTCCATACTTCTTTAGGAACCGTGTTGTTCAACTTCTTGGTAGGGAACATGTTCAGAATATAAACAACAGTCGAAATAGCTTCACCCCATAAGGATTTTGGCAGATTCTTCTACTTCAGCATGCATCTCGCCATGTCCAATATGGTCATGTTTCTTCTTTATGTTATTCCATTATGTTGAGGAGTATAAGGAGCAGTTATCTCATGATCAATACCATGTTCTACAGAGAATGCTTCAAATATCTTGGATGTTTATTTGCCACATCCATCTGTTCGCAGAACTTTGATTTTCTTTTCACCCTGATTTTTGACAAGTATCTTGAATCTCTTAAAGATTTCAAGTACTTCGTCCTTTCATTTGATCACGTAGATCCAGAGCTTTCAATTGTACTCATCAACAAATGAGACAAAATACATGTTTCCACCAATGGTATGCTCTTCAAAAGGACCACATACATGTGAATGTACAACTTCGAGTATGCAGGATAATCTCATTGGCATAGTCGAAACGAAAGACTTCCTGGACAACTTTCCGACTAGATAACCTTCACAAAGTTTTTCAGGCATCTCAAGACTTAGTATACCAGTTACCATACCTTAAGTGATCAGTTGATTGAGCGACCTAAATTTTAGATGACCAAACCTCAGATGCCACAACCAACTATTCTTGTGGTCGACAACTGTTTTTAGACATTGTACCTCAGTCGAACTAACCATGGTCTTAAATGTTCTATTCTTTGACAGAGGAGATTTCAAGATCAAATTATTCTAGATGTCGAAAAGTTCTAAGGCTTTATCTTTCATAACCATTGAGAACCCCTTTTCGACCAGTTGTCCAACACTTAGTAGATTGCACTTTATTCTAGAGACATAGAGTACATATATGATTAAGGCTTTTGTTCCATTACTCTTTTGAATAACTATGTTGTCAGTGCCTTCTGCTTGTAACGAGCTATTATCAGCAAGTTTGACCTTGCTTTTCTTTGACTCGTCAAAATTTATTAACCATACTTTTCGACCAGTCATGTGACTCGAGCAACCTGAATCGAGGAACCAGATCTTGAATTTGACATAGTCATCTGCAATTGCAGTCATAACCACCATATCATCATAATCATTTGAATCTTGACGTGCAAGGCTCGCTCCTTTGTCTTTACCTTTTGACGATTCATTGTCTTTCATGTACCAACAATGCTTGGTCAAGTGACCCCACTTTTCACAGTTATAGCATTGCACGCCTTTTTCTCTACTTTATCTTTCTGATAGGAATTTCCTTCTCCTCTTTTTGAGGATTCAGAAGTTCTATCATCGATCTTATTCTTGTGAGGGTTCAACTAACACTTCTTGCTTCGAGTCTTGTCGATTTTTTCTTTTACCTTGTTGGAACCACCATTCTTCTTCCACGATTGAGCCTGTAATGCATATATCGAGTCTTGAACTCTTTTCCTTTCGACAATCTTAATCTCGTGCGCCTCCAACGAACCAACAAAATCTTCCAGTTTTAGGGTTTCGAGATTGTTATATTCTTGAATAGCTACGATAACGTGATCAAAGTGAGAGATCAACGTACGCATTACCTTCTTAACTATCATCTTATTAGTTAGGGTTTCACCACAATCCTTCATGAGATGGATGAGTTTTTGCACCTTTGACACATAACCTGCAATCTTTTCGTCTTCTCCCATCGACAACAATTTATATTATCGTCGTAAAGTTTGCAACTTGAAAACTTGACTTTCTCGCCTCCTTCATAGTACTTGACAAGAATATCTCATGCCTCCTTCGTCAATTCAGCATGAGCGATTCTGTCGAAATTAGCCGCATCAACCACCATCTGGATGTAAAACGCTGCTTTGCAATCCTTCTTCTTGGCATCCTTATGAATGACTCTCTGTGCGTCAGTTGCATCTTCACCAAGCGCAAGAACGTCGTTAGTAACCACTTCTAGAGTTTCATGAAATCCAAATAGAGATTGCATTTGTTTTCTCTATCGAAGTCAATTCTTGTCGTCAAGAGTTGGAAGGTAGTTTGGTAAATTTCTGTTACCATTCATTTTGCAGTGATTGATCAACCCACGATCCCAGAAACACAATCTCTGACGTGTGATTCTTGAAAACACGATCAAGAATCTAACTGAAGCTCTAGATACCAATTTGCTAGTGTCTGACACTTTTAGTGAGGAGAGAAGAAAATGAATAAAGAAATAAGAATTAATATTATTGAATGAATGATAATAACTAAATTACAAAATGTCTTATTTATATAAACCTTACTGATTTAACTACTAAATAATAAATATAACAAACTAACTAAGAAATTATAAACTTTAATTAACTTTATACTAAAATCACATAATTCAACTTAAACTATATTTAATATCTCATTAGTTATATTAAAATAATATTGAAATACAACATCATACTTAGAAATATCATTCCTTGCTTAGAAATTGTATGTTTGTTACAAATCATCACTATTGATATCGGCGGAGAATTTTATAGGCCGCCACCTTGACAAACTAAAAAGAAGTATTGACTTATAAATATTCTTTTATATCTTAAAAAGACTATTGTCCAATTATAGCATCTTTCTTGAACTTTTACATACACTTAATCAAAGTATTATATTATATTAAAATAATATTCAAATACAGCATCATACTTATAGAAATATCATCCCTCTACTTAGAAATATGTTTGTCACTTTCTACTAATCAAACTTTATATTATATTAAAATAATATTCAAATACAGCATCATACTTAGAAATATCATTCCTCAACTTAGAAATTGTTATGTTTGTCACTTTCTTCAATTCATATTTAACCAGTAGCATGTTAGCATCAACTCAAGACTTGATTGATCACAAAGAAATGGAGAACATTAAAAACCAAGCACACTACCACAATCCTGTCATATTGCAGAGTGAGGACTTGACAAATGTTAGTATATATACTTAAACTTTTCTAAGAAAATCTAGTTGCATTTTTTAACACATACTCTTTTAGTATATTCATTGATGATTCATGAATAATGATATGACAGTATATATTGGAGACTGCTGTTTACCCTAGAGAGCCAGAGATTCTCAAAGAGCTGAGGAAAGCCTCTGAGATTCACCCTTGGTAATTACTCTATATATCTCTCTTGCAATGTTTTCAAAATTGGAGTAATGTTTGAACTGGTATGATCTTCGGATTATGGTTTAATAGGTTTGATCTGATTCAACCAGAGTGCGGTTGAAATGGATCAAACCAACCATGAACTGGCTAGTTTTCTGTTTAACCGGTTGAACGGATGAATTTGACTTTAAAAATATTGGTGTACTTATGATGGTGACTTTTGAATTTGGTTTTGATATTGAATCAGGGGTTTCATAGCTACTTTACCTGAGGCTGGTTCACTAATCAGTGTACTTTTGAAGCTTTTGAATCCAAAAAAGACAATTGAAGTGGGAGTTCTTACCGGATACTCTCTTCTCCTCACTGCCCTCAACATTCCGCATGATGGAAAGGTTTGCATACTTTATGTCAAGAATGGCCTCAATCTATATTAGGGTAATTTCCTACATGAAATGTTCATTTATGTTGCAGATTACAGCCATAGATATTGACAGGAAAGCTTATGAAATTGGATTACCGGTCATAAGAAAGGCTGGAATGGAACATAAGATTGATTTCATAGAGTCTCCAGCTCTACCAATTTTGGACAAACTGCTAGAAGATGTAAGCATATCTTTCTTTGTACTATCTTTTTATTCGAACTTATCTAGCAACATTGTTGTCTGATGTAGGATTCTTAACATACCATATCGTATGTCTGCTTCAAATAATATTTTCTGATATAAGACTTTAACATACCGTTGTGTCTGATGTCAGACTTTTATGTCTACTTTTTGTGTGGAATATTGTTTGATGCAGGCATCAAATGAAGGAAGTTTTGAGTATGCTTACATTGATGCTGACAAAGATAACTATGTAAACTACCATGAAAGACTGATAAAACTAGTCAAAGTTGGTGGGTTACTTATATATGACAACACACTTTGGGGGGGAAGAGTTGCTTGGGCTGAAGAGAAAGTTCCAGCATATGCCAAAGAAGGAACAACAGCAGCAATTGAATTCAACAAAACAATCAGAGATGACTCTCGTGTTGATTTTTCTCTCACTTCTGTTGGTGATGGACTCAATATTTGTAGACGTATTGTCTAAGGTTATTTGACTATGTTTTTTCATGCACTAGTACTTTATATTTGTCTACATCAATAAAGTGTTGCATTTTGTGTTTGTAATAAAAACTTGGTCTGATCAAGTTATTTGATTATCAATTTGTCTGTAAGTTATGTTATTTCCATGGACTCGTGCTTTATCTTTTTCTACGTGAATAAAATAATGAGAAATGATATAGTTACATAATTTGTGTTTGTCATAAAAGTTTGGTCGTATATTGCTAATTTCTTAGATAATTTAATTGTATTTAGTGCTTCAAAGGAATGAAAGTGGTGAAATTAATTAGTTAAACAGACAAATAAATAGACTAATTAACTTGTATGGTTGGAGATGTGATGCGTCATACTAATTATGCATGTCACATAATGTCAACATATTATAAAGTAATTATTTGAAAATTAGTTGTTTGAAAATCATAAATTATTAATTAGAAATTAAATGTGGAGGAGTTTGTTAGAAGTTAAAATCTCAACTAAACATATTATATATATATATATATATATATATATATATATATATATATATATATATATATATATATATATATATATATATATATATATATATATATATATATATATATATATATATATATATATATATATATATATATATATATATATATATATATATATATATATATATATATATATATATATATATATATATATATATATATATATATATATATATATATATATAATTTAATATTCGATTTTGTGACCAACTAATTTAAGGAGACAAATTTTACCATCTACTTATAGAAGTCTCATTTAAAGTCAAAGTAAAATATTTTCTGGAATAATCTAACACAGTAACTGTTAGTGCCTAGCAACATATTCTAAAATCTCAACTCTTCACCAACAAGTTAACTCATAAAAGGTGTTTGTTTGATGAATTCAAATTATATTTTCGAGAATATGAGGTAGCGAATTCTACATTTCCATATTTGTTTCAAGTTGTAAAAAAATGATGTCCAAACATGTTTTATTCTAAGAAATATCTTTTACTCATAAAATTTTAAATATTTATTTCCATGTTAAAGTATGGAAATCTTATATTTTCATAAGAATAAAAGATAAACAACTATAGCTACCCACTTCTGAATTATTTTAACACTAATAAACGAATAAGCTAAAATGAAAAGAAATGTGTCAGTATGGATTATAAACAAACATGAGTATTCTAAAAAAACAACAATAATAACCGACAAAATATTCATGACTAAAATTAAACTAAATTAAATATGGGATGAAATGCAAAGATATGCATTTTAAGACTGAGGAAGGTCGGATGGAAAATTGATCATCTCTGAGAAAATCTTAAATGTTGAAAGAGAGACTCGAACCATTAGCAACTATGACTTTCTTGACGACGATCAACAAAGCGTACGACCTCTCTCCCATTGCTTTTGCATCTTCCTATTGACGTGTTTCTCTTTCACAAACATAGAATCCTATCGACACAAATGTCAAAGTAAGCTTTGACAGTAGGAGTCTGACTGTCACTGTCTGACCTTCACTTTGTTCTATCGAAGTATTCAATGGATAAAAAAATGATCGTTTTATTTATTAGAAGTTAGTCTCTAGATACCATAATCACACAATCAATTATTCAATCTAATACACATAAAAAGCTTCACACAAAAAATTAAATTTCCTAATGTATCTTGCATATACCACTCATATTCAATTTATAGAGTTGAGTACGAAAACAATGAGGTGTCTCGGTTCAAGGTTGAATATGATTAGTGATCAAAAGAATCTCACACAACTCTTAAACACTAATAACTTAATCAACACAATATAAAGTTTTTGTACAGGTTTCACTTGAGAAATAAGGTGTGAAAGAAAGATGGTAAAACTATCCCTATTTTCAATGTTATTATTTCAGATATACTCCTACTTTTCTATTTTATTTTTAAATTTCTATGTTTCTAACAATTTCTAAAAAGAAAAACGGATAAAATTAGAAAGAGTATAAGAATTAAATGAATTTATATATTTTTCTTAAAGGGTGGATTTTTTTTCTAACAATCTGAGTGAGTATTATTTTACACCGATTTTTTTTTAAAATCTAATAAAAACTCATGAAATTGTTGAAAAATATGATAAAAACTAATAGATTCTAAAAAATCAAATAACAACTCATAGATTCCAAAAACTCGTAAAATCCTAGGAAGTTTTCCAAAAATTTAATGAAAACTCAAAAATTCAGACACACAATGTTTTAAGAATATAAAAAATCACAAAAGATATATTATAATAAAAATACTACTACGAGAGTGCCAGGTAAAACCAGGTGTCACACAAAAAAATATAGTTTTAGCATGAAATTAAAAGCAAAGTTATAAAACTTTGAATATTTGTATAGAACACACATTTTAGATCGTTCTTGCCCACATTTTTAACTTTGAAGTTACAAGACATAATCAAAATACATGCTCTTATTCCAATTATTGGGGGATGATGTGAATATGGAATGGTCTAAACGAGGGATGAGTTGAATAGACATTTCCCCTAAAACCATGTTTAAAAACTTTTTCTTCAAAAATAGGGTTTTTACACGTAGAAGCACAATTTACAAATGGATGGGAGAGGTCAAAATTTTATAAAAGATATGTTTGGATGAATTTCACAGCTGGCTTAGATTAACTGATACTACAACAACTGAGAAATATAAAGTTGCTTAAACAAGTAATACATCAATTGACACAATTCAATTTATACACAAGGTCCAAATTGAATTCGATTAAACGAATAATCAATATAACATTAAGAACTTATACAAACATAATCTACAAAAAGAAGATTCAAATGAGTAGATAAATCACAGACGTAGATTTACACAATAAATCACTATAAACAGATAAAAATTATCAACCATTATTCTAAAAATTGGTAAAGCCTAAGACGTGCAAAACTATACTAAAATGTAAAAGAGACAAGGAAAGAAATTGTACACCCGATATATACTGGTTCACACATTCTTTCTCACTTTGCATTTAGTCCAGTCTTCAATGGTAAATCATTGAAAATTCTTTAGGTCTTCCACTACTTTACAAATTAATATACAAGATTTTTTTTATACAATGAACAATCAAGACAACAAGTCTAAATGAAGAAAAAAAAAGCAAACACAAGTCTAAATTACGATTTCTCTTATATTGTAGCAGTACAAATAAAAACTGTGAAATTCACAAGATATTCACTTAATCTTGAGCCAATTTCCTTGCTAGATCCAAAGTTCTTCTCCAACCTTCTGTTTCATAGTAGTCTTCACTCAATCCTACATAATGTCCCTTGTTTGAAGCTTTGTTCTACGCAAGGATCTTGAAAACTCCCAACTTCTTTCAGAAACAAACTTCACTTTGTTCTATCGAAGTATTCAATAGAGAAAAAAATGATCCTTTTCTATATTAGAAGTTAGTCTCTAGACACCATAATCACATGATCAATTATCCAATATGACACACAAAAAAAGCTTCACAAAAAATATTAGGTTCCCTAATGTACCTTGCATCTACCACTTATACTAGATCTTTAGAGTTGAGTACCAAAATAATGGGGTGTCTTCGTTCAAGGATGAAGATGATTATTGATAAAAAAAAATCTCACACAACTCTTAAACATTACTAACTAATCAACACATCATGAAGTTTTTATACAGGGTTGACTTGAGAAATAAGGTGTGAAACTAAGAGTGTAAGAATACCCATACTTTCAATGTCATTATTTCAAATATACCCATACTTTTTTTTTTTTTTTTACATTTATATGTTTGTAACGATTTCCAAAGAAAAAAATATGGATAAAATTAGAAAGAGTGCAAGAATTAAATGCATTAAGACATTTTTCTTAAAAGGTAAATTTTTTTTGTGAATTCTCTTATATATGAGACCGACGAAAGTATTATTTTACACCAAATTTTAAAAAAATATCGTAAAAACTCATGAAATTGTCTAAAATCTAGTAAAAACTCATAGATCCCCAAAAATCCGTGAAAACTCATAAAATTCTCCAAAAATATGATAAAAATTTAAAAATTCGGACAAACAATATTTTTTAAAAACATAAAAAACCACAAGGATATTATGATAAAAATCCTACTACGGGAGTGTCAAGAATAACTATGGTGGTATAACAAAATCTAGTTTTAGCATGAAATTAAAAGCCCAGTTATAAAACAAAGGCCCAATCTTAACCCGTAAAAACTAGGGTTTGGTTATATTTTAGGTTCCTCTTTCGCTTTGTTCTAAACACTGCCGAAAACCTTGCACACTCTTAAGGTATCTCTCTCCTTTTCTAATTCTCGATTGTTTAATTCTTTGCATCTGAGTTTAATTTATGCATTCTATTCCCAAAAATCGCAGATTTTATAACTAGATTTGTTGCATTTCTATAGGGTTTAGGGTTATCAGAAGTTGAAAATGGTGGAGAAGGGTGCAGGTGGTAGAAAAGAAGAGGTTGTTACCAGGGAGTACACAATCAACCTCCACAAGCGTCTCCATGGCTGGTAAGTTTGCTTCCGATGAGTTTTTCATTGCAGATTTCGACTCATCACTTAATCATTTACTTCATGATTTAACTGCTTAACATTCATTTTCACAGTTGAATTATTTTGTTTTAGTTAGGGTTTCAATTTTTTAGATCCATTAGGGTATTTGGTTTATGTATCTATGTGTGTACCTTGTTCATCTGATGTTGGTGATTTAATCAATAATAGCTTTTATTTGAATTCAGTAATGCAATTAGATATACAAATTGCAGTAATAACTTGAAATGGATTAGGTTTTAAAAAACAGTTGTGTTTGCGTTGCAGTCACGAAAAGGCTTTCACTATTTTGATTTTGTTCGTTACATAACCACAACTGTATTACCAAAAAAAGGCGAATAACAATATCAGTATTGGCATACTGGCACCTGCTGTCCTGTTGCCGCTGTTTCATGTTTGTGATTTAAAACCTTCAATTGAATGCATGTGAATTTTTGTTGTGTTTGGTAAATCACTGATTTTGTCATATTGATTTAGATTAAACCATCCTATTGGTTTCTTTATGTGTGAGGTATATCAAAATTACAAACACATCTTCAATTATTGCTTAGTCATTTTGTTTATTGTGAATGTGTTTTTTTACGTCTTTTTGTTCCTCAAATGTGTTTTTTGTTGGTAAATTTATCCTAAGATTACAACCAAAATTTTAACTTATGATATATTTGTAAAGTTAATACGACAGTTTCACACATCCAGTACTAAAAGTGCTGATATATGACTTTTGTAACTCAAATCTTAATATTTTGAAGTTTATAAATGATATAGTAGCTCATAGTTTGTTTTTGTTAGGGTATCATTTTTTATGTGTATTCATTAAAATAGGTCTTTCAATTCACAGTTTAAATCTTGATTATTTTTTTTTTTTTGGTTTTGAGATAAAATCTTTTATTGTGATTCATGTTGTTGAGTGATTGCAGTATTGTATCTCTTACTGGTTTCTGTCTGTGTTTGGTAATAAACAGCACCTTCAAGAAGAAGGCACCAAAAGCTATAAAGGAGATTAGAAAATTTGCTCAAAAAGCCATGGGTACTAATGATGTTAGGGTCGATGTCAAGCTTAACAAGGCTATCTGGAGCCAAGGAATTAGAAGTGTACCAAGGAGGGTCCGAGTACGCATTGCTCGCAAGAGGAATGATGATGAAGATGCCAAGGAGGAATTATACTCCCTTGTCACAGTTGTTGAAATTCCTAAAGAAGAGCTAAAAGGCTTGGGCACCAAGGTCATAGATGATGAAGATTGATTTATCATATATCTAGTCTTGAAGCTTGGAGAAACATATATTTAGTTTTTCTTTTTTGCTTTATTCAATTAAGTTATTGTCTTAAGATTGTTGAAGTGCTAATTTTGTTTAGACATGAGATGCTTTTATATATCACCTGTTTTTTTGTGTTTTTACCATTCAGATTGGTTGGAAAGAGTTATTCACTTTTGGCCTCGTTTTACTTATTTCTTCAATGCTTTATCTGTGTTTGAGAGATTTGAATACAGTTGACAACATAATATATTATGTCTCATCATAGGATTAAATAACTAAAAGTACCTACTCATCAAACAGGATTTAATTACCAAAAACTTCAATGATCTCATGAACCAAGAGCTTCACAAAAGACCATAAGTGTTGAGAGAGAATTCAAATTCAAAGGTCTAGTTATTAATAGCAATCTGTCTGGTTAAGATAAATGTGAATAGTAATATCATACATCTTTGGGATGCAGATACAACATGTAGGTTTCTAATTTCTTCAAGGGATTTTGTATTCTAATTGAATGCATCGGTAAGAAATACAATTTTCCTTTGAAGTTGGTGTTAAAGCTATGCACAAATAATACAGTTCTGCCTCAACCCGACACAATTCGATTGAATTTTGTTTAATTTTCCTCATAACAAAAGCTTTATCTTCCTTTAATGTATGAGGCTGATATGATTGTTTGTTACTTGCCTTGCTCATAGTCAAAGACAACTGCCACATTAGTATTATTATTTTTTATGTTAGTAGAGATGACTAGTGCCATATTATTTTCATGTCAAATACTCAGATTTCATTTCCCTATTATTTGGGAGGATCTTTGTATGGTTGATGAGGTGATGCTGTTGACGAACTCTCTTACGACAGACCTTCATGTGCATGCAAAATGCAAATATTCATATGATCAAATTATTGACGATCATAAGTGTGAGATTTAAGGTTTAAAATAATATGTACCAAAATGCAAATATTCGTATGATCAAGTTAGTGACGATCATAAATGTAGGGTAATAATGTGTACCAAAATGCAAATAAGTGTGAGGTTTAAGGTTTAAAATAATGTGTACCAAATGCAAATATTCATATGATCAAGTTAGTGATGATCATAAATATAGAATTTTTAGATTTAAAAAAATGTGGACGTCTGGACTATTCTTTATATTTTATTATATATTTTATTATAGTTAGATTCTAAGGTTTAAAGAATGTAGAAACCTTTTAAAGGACAATTGTTTCAAAAGACAAATGTTAAGAGAATCGGATAAGTCTTTTTATCATTCAAAGGGATTGGTACATCATGATCAAGTGTCCCTCTAGGATTTGTCTCACTCTCTAAACTTCAGTTTTCTTTTGAACTATTCATAACATCTATGTTAATAACGGAAGAAAAAAAGTTACAAAACATCATCTTGAAATTTTTATACTTAAAAATTAGCCAAGCAAGAGCGTAATCGTATTAACCAATTCAAAACGGTTCAACTGTGTCTTAATTTTTTTCTTCAAATATTTGACTTTTCATAATTGTTATAATGGTAAAATTAAAGAGATATTTTGGAGGACTATTGAAAAAAATGTAATTAGAATATTTTTTCAAAAAATTTAAAAAATAGTTTTAAATTTTAATATCGAAACCCTACCTTAAGTTTTAAGAGATTATATGAACTAGTAAATTTTAACATGTATATTCAACTTCAGCTATTAAATAGTCCTCTCTTTCAAGGTCTAGCTTGTATTCAATTATATTTACTTGATCTTACTTTACCTTTCCCTCAACATCCACACCTGAACTAGTTACCACATGTGAACAAACCTTCACCTACTTTAAATTGTCATTCATAGGCTCCCAACATTTGACCATGTCACCAATATTGTTCCTAGCATTTGCTTTAATTTCCAATGAGTAGACTCAACCCTAAAATTAATACATATTAAAAATATTTTTAAAAAATACGAAAAAGATATACAATTTAGAAATATTAAAAATAAATACATACTGATTAGTCGTGGTGTTACCCAAATGTAGCACTCGATTAATCCATACTCCAACAAATCTTTGTCTATGTGGTTTCAACCATATATCCTTCACATAATCAATAAATTCATTACAATCAACACATGCCTGCTCAAGTTGGTTCAACCTTTGATCACACTCAACCTCATCACTAGACCATACAACATTCGTCTATAATTCGTCAATTTTCTTTTGCATGTCACTAGCCACATATTGTTTCCGTTTTGCACCAACATTCTTGTTAATATGAAATCGACATAGCAAATTGATCGACCTTGGAAACACAATTTCAATGACTTTCATCAAACTAAGATCTCTATCTGTCAAAATCACTCGTGGGTACAAATATTTCTTCACAAAGAATTGTTTAAGCTTATCTAGCACCCAACAAAAAGTCTCAGTCTGATCAGACTCAATATACGCAAATGTGACAGCAAAAGTCAACTCGGTTGATGTCATGCCAACAATTTCAAATAGAGGTCGCCTATATTTGTTTGTCTTGTAAGTGTTGTCCATAACTAACACAATAGTAAAAATATTCAACAACTTAACTGAATTTGGATGAACGCAAAATATATCTCTAATAACTTCATAGTCATCTCTTTTTCTACTCCAATAAACATAACCTGCATCCTCAATAAGCTTAAACAAATGTTATATCTCACTTCTAGGACCTCTTATATTTTTTTCTATCATACTCTTCTGCTGGTATATTTGCGTGATACGAGTGACATTATCTGGATCTTGCTCTTGCAATGAAAGCAATATATGTCTAGGTGGAACCTTTCTCTTTGTCAAATCAACTACATATTGCTTCTGATTCGCTGTCAACCTACCAACAAATGCGCGACCTTCTAATCTATCAGGTAAATCATGGTTATGAACTCCACATTTTACATCAATCTTCCATTCAGATCCATCGGTCGCTGGAATTTGTCTGATTTTAAATGGACATCCACATTTTTTTGTCGCACTCTGGGTTCCACTATCAATATCTTTGTGTTTTCCACATTTATCACATCCAAATATTAATTAGTTACTTCTTCCTCTCTTATCTATTTCAATATCTGAACGAGTGATGATAATCGTTACTTTATTTCGGATTTCGATCTCTTTAATCCATCTTATCACCTTTTCTCGTGTACCAAATCTTTGAGTAGTTGAAAAAACATCAGACGTATATACACATATCTGATCTTTATCGCATATTTGTAAAGAATAAAAAAATAAAAAATAAAACTGCAAAAGCAAATCGGAAGACTTAGGAAAAGAGTTCCGATAGCCAAAGTTACAAAATCGAAAGACTTGTAAAAAGTGTTTTGGTACACTTTTTACAAGTATCAGAACTCTGAATACAAGTGTTCCGGTAATAATTCTACGTAAAATGCAAACCGGAAGTCTTTGATAAACTCTTCCGGTATATATTTTGTATAAATTAGAATTCTTTGCCAAAGTCTTCCGGTTTGAAAAAAATAACATACCGAAAGTCGTTTTAAAAGTGTTCCAGAAGACTCGATGGGTGAATTTTTTGAAACTCTGAAAATCTGACCGGACAGTAAAAAATAAAAAAAATAAAAAAATAAAAAACATACAAGGATAAGATTGATATTTTTTTAAAATTGTAAGAGTAAAAATATAATTATAGGAGTATGAGGTCAACTTTACTTCTTCAAGTAGATACATGTGTGAGACTATAAAAATTAGTATTATCCATGGACAAACTAATGGGAGACTATATAAAAACTAGTATTATTCATGCACATAACGATGTGAAATTATGCAATAATAGGGACTAAAATAAGCTTAATAACTTAAATAATTTTCTTGAGTTGTTTAAAATTAATTATCTTATTATCAAATCATTAATTATTAATTTTTATATTTATTTATTATTAATATATAAAATTGCATTGACCCTTTTGTTTTGATTTTTCTCATTCTCTTCTTCCAAATATAAAATAAAACGAAATAATGCGTGCCACGTGGAAATAAAGGCCGCACTTGCAAGTTCCTTCGATCTTCGAATCAATCTACCAAAACGACACTCCTAATCCATCATCGCTTTTTCTACCACCTACCCAGATCCCAAGTTTCAATCTTTCGTTCCTTTTACGATTCAAACCGATTCAATTTTCACTAATTCTTTCTGATTCAATCGATCGCATACAATCATGTTTAGCAGAGTTTTTGGTAAACCTAAACAGGAAATCAGCAACAATGCTCTTGCCACTTTGGACAAGTTAAACGAGGTACTAATTTTAATTCTAGTTCTAATTAATACCTTGAATTCATTATACTTTTCTATTTTGCAATTAGTTTTATTTGGGTAAAATTACTTGATTGAACAATTAAGCACTTAAAGCATAATCCTTTATCATAGAAGTGATTATATATAGGCTATTTATACAACGGAAGATAAAATAAAGTTAAATTATTTCATAAAACTATAATCTGTTTTAGTAAGCTATTCTGGAGAGTTTGTGAAGATAAGTCGATAACAGTTGTGAACTGTTTTCATAAACTATTTTAGAGAATTTAGGGAATTACGTTGAAAACATATAGGTAATGTCGTAAGTTGTTTCTGTAAGCTCTAACAAATGATCTGGAAAGTGTTTGTTGTTGTAGATAAACTTAAATAAGTCAATTCCAACAGACGGTTAATTGTGATTTTAGATTTAGGTGGTTTGGGCATATAGAGAGAAGATCTGATGAGAGAAATTAAACAACTGGAGATAGAGGAAGGCCTAGAAAAACTCTAAAAGAAATTATTAAGAAAGATTTTGAGATTAACGATTTGGGTAGAAACATGTTCTTGGATAGAACATTATTGTGAAAATTGATCCGTATAGCCAATCCTACATAGTGGGATAAGGCTTGCTTGTTGTTGTTGGTTAATTATGACCTTGCTGAATGATTAATGCTAAATAATTTCACGCCAACTCTAATTCCTATTACTATACTTCACCATGAGCTTTGACTGTGAGTGCTGAATAATACATAATAAGTAAATAAATTGATTTCCCTATATTCCATTTAAGTTAGTGTTTTGATGAATAGTTTGATTAAGCGCTTATGACATAAATGCTTATTTATAAGCTATTTCTATAACAAAGGTTATATAGTATAAACTGATTTCATATAACCTATAGGTTGTTTTCATAAGATATCCTAGAGAATGTATGAGAATAAGCCAAAAGCATATTACAGGCTTGTCATAAGTTGTTTCTATAAGCTCTGACAAGGGCTTATGTCAAGAATGTATGTGAATAAGCCGAGAGTATATTATAGACTTGTCATAGCTTGTTTCTATAAGCTTTGTCAAGTGCTTATGTAAGTAGAAAAGTTCAAGTTAGGCAATCCAAAGAGGCCTCTAAACCTTTTAATAATTGGCACAAATTATACTAAAATATTCCTTAGTACCTATCGCTATATTTTCAATTTATGAGCACACCATTGGCAGAGAATATTCTTGTAATTCTTCTCATAGTCCTAGCATTCGAATCTTTATCTGAGTTCTATTGTTGAATATGTTTGCTTTCTATTTTGAAACAAGTATCATATATGTATTTTAGTGCATCTATCATGTGACAATAGATGTGTGCAATGGTTATTGTTATCCATTCGTTTTGAGCGTTAAGTTACAGTTTGAGATTTGAGAGAGTGGATTTAACAATTTGAATTTGTTGTCCTTTGAAATTATACAGACACTTGAAATGCTAGAGAAAAAGGAAAATGTGCTTCTTAAAAAGGCCGGGGCAGAAGTTGAAAAAGCCAAAGAATTCACTAAAGGAAAGAACAAAAAGGGTAGGTTCTTAAACTGAATTTTTGTACTTGTTCTTCAGTGTTTTCTTTAATCCTACTTTCTTTATTTTTAATTACGCGCGACTCAAGTTTTCATTTTATACAGCGGCAATTCAATGTTTGAAGAGGAAGAGGCTATATGAACAGCAAATTGAGCAGCTTGGAAATTTCCAGCTGCGTATTCATGACCAGGTGCAAATGCAATCGTATTTGGTATTAGTTCAGACAATGTTTCATATTATTAATCTTCTTTTGCATCTTTTGGTGGTGACTTGTGTTATAGATGATAATGTTAGAAGGTGCTAAAGCCACCACGGAAACAGTGGATGCGTTACGAACAGGAGCCGCTGCTATGAAGGCTATGCAGAAAGCAACGTACTTACTGCTATTATATGATTCTAAATCTTTAATGAGCCGTTGATTATGATTTATGACATTACTATGGTCCTGTTTTGATTTGTTTATTTGAACTTATCTACTATAGCATAAACATTTGTGAGACTGTTTAGAAGTTGTGAAAACACCTTATGACATGCTTATAGCTGTTTTTCATCTACATCCATAAGTTCTTCAATATAGCATATGCAATTATGAATAGCTTATAGTTTATATTTAAGCAAAGCACTTATATGATAAACACCTATGCTATAAGTGCTTAATTATGCTGTTCATCCAAACATGACCTAAGTTTGCTCCTGTTTCTTTTTTCAGGAATATTGACGATGTAGACAAAACCATGGATGAGATAAATGAACAGACTGAGAACATGAAGCAGATTCAAGAAGCATTGTCAACTCCAATTGGTGCAGCAGCTGATTTTGATGAGGTAATTCTCTCAAATATTTACTTATTTGTTATGTCGGTTGCAAACATGATATTTGTACCTTTTGATTGTTTATAGTGTTTTAGAGTGCTAATGCGTGTCCGTGACTGTTGGGATGGCTCGTAGTTTAATCATAAGAGGGCAGGTCACTCACAGTTCAGGGGTAATCTTGTATAGTGGACCGTAGTATTTACGCACAATTGTAATGTATAAACCCTAGACTTGAATAATAGAAAGATACTCCAGCCGCACTATAGTAGGAGACGTAGGCAGAATTGGTTGAACTCCGTGATCAAATCTCGTGTGCTCTTTGTTTACGTTTTTTCCATATGTGTTTACTTTTGAACCGGGGTTGTATTCTAACAATGAAGCATTCTGAATTTATTCTTTTCAGGATGAACTGGAAGCAGAACTTGAAGAATTGGAGAGCGCTGAGTTGGAAGAACAGCTTCTTCAGCCAGCAACTACAGCTCCGGCTGCCACATCGTATGTCCCAGCTGGGCGGCAACCTACACGCCCTGTTCCTGCAAAGCCAACTCCTGAGGAAGATGAATTGGCAGCTTTGCAGGCTGAGATGGCACTTTGATCGGGTACCTTTTCTCGTCTGTGTGCTACCGATGGATTTGTGTTGTTATCTATGCATTAGTTTCTTTCATCTGAACTGGTGTTACATTTAGTATGCGAGTTAAATGATATGGTTATGTCACATTTTCATGTTTTGCCTATGCCAGAAATATTTTAGGTAGTAGTTCTATATGAATTTGCCGCGACTGGCTTAGTTTAAGCTAGAATTATGCTGGCTTTATTAACTACGACGATAAGTGTCTTCCACGACACGACATATTTGTAATATGTAACTGATGACTCTGATGTGGAGAATTCTGATTCTCTCCTTCTGGCTTTGCATGTGTGAAATTATTGAACAGACCAGCAGATGTATATAAAAGCTGAAAAAGAAGTTGAACATAGAAGTCCCCTTCAACACTTGCTGCTTTTCTCATTGATGTGTTTGAACCTTTTCTCCAGGTCTGCGTATCAAATGTTAGTTTATTTGGCCATCTCAAGCATAAGTTGATTATTTGATACCAAGTATGTAAAATGAAAAGTATGTTCCCTCAATCATTGAGTTAAATACTCGGAACTCACATTATAATATACTGTTCTGAACATACTTTTTTAGAGGTCATGTTTCATTTGGTCTTGTTTTTCTAAAACATTTTTGTTATGTAACTTAGTATAACAGATATGTAAAATATGTTAACAAGTGGAAAGGATTTAGTTTGATGAGCAAAGTTGCAATTAAGCCAACAATTGCTTGCATTCATGGAATATGCCACCATACTTGAAGGAGTATCAACTTCTTTTCCACCTCTCTCATTTCTTGATCATCAAGTTTGACGAAAACAGGATTACCAAAGTGAAGGGGTGTCTTTATGATCAGAACACCCGTATTGAAAAATCTTGTCAAAATCTCCTTCCATTTTCATTCAATATTTTTACTCACAAACAACATTTTCATGTATTTTGAAATCATAAGGTGCAAAAGAACACCCGTATTGAAAAATCTTGTCAAAATCTCCTTCCATTTTCATTCAATATTTTTACTCACAAACAACATTTTCATGTATTTTGAAATCATAAGGTGCAAAAGAAGATTAAATTACGAATAGTGTACATTTATTCCATTGATCATTGATGATAAAATCTGTTTTTTTTTCTTCCTTTTTTCTGAAATATGAAAGTTGCATAGAGTTTGAAATGCAGATTCTTTTACGGATGTTCCAAAAACTGAAATTCAAACTGATTTAATGGTGAATTTAAATTTTCTTCTGTTTTATTGGTTGTTGTTATGGTGCACCTTGATGTCGTCATCAAAGCTATTGCATCTAAGGATGATAAATTGGGTATGTCCAAATTGATGTTGGAGAATTATTTATCAATAAACAAGAGTTTGCTTTACATGAACATTTTTTTATAAGTGTGTCAAATTAGGGTTCAATATTGTTATCGAGAGGTCGGATTCTAGTTTTGATAGAAGGCATGCATTTGTTATGATGAAATGCGAAAGAAGTGGCAAATATAAAGAATTTATCGGGAAGTTAAAACGCGATGACACCAAATCGAGGAAATGTGGTTGTCCTTTTAAGTTGCGTGGATACCACAAGGCGAACAATATATGAGCATTTAATGTGATTCTGGTATACATAACCATGCTTTATGTCACAAGTTAGCCGGGTCATTCAATTGTATGTTGTGTGAGTTATGAAGAGAAGATACTTGCTTATGACACGACATTTCATGGTTCATCCCAAAAACATCCATTTTTAAAAGGAAAATATCCGAAAATGTCTCAAATATTAGGCAAGTATACAATGTCCGTACTTAAAACAATAAGCCGATAAGAGGTCTAAGATCTGAAATACAATAGTTATTGAAGTTATTGGAAGATGATCATTATGTATCTAGGTATAAAGTGTATAAGGATGAAAAAGTTATTTGAGATATATTATGGACTCATCATGTTTCTATCAAGTTGTTCAACATGTTTCTCATTATGTAGATAATTAATTCCATGTATAAGACCAACAAGTACATGCTTCCGCTTTTGTAAATTGTTGTTGTTACTTCTACATAGATAACGTTTTTAGTTGGGTTTGCATTTTTGAAAAGAGAAAAAGAGGATAATGTTATGTGAGTTTTGTAAGTGTGTCAGACTATGTTGAAAGACCAAGAAAACATGCAACATGTGATTGTCACTGATCGAGATATCGTACTGATAAATTCAGTGCAAAGGTGTTTACTACATCATAAGCATCATATAACAAAAAATATGATACTCGTGGTTTTTCTCTCGAGATCCTATTATTAGCTAGGAGCTCATCCTCCCAATTTATGTACGACTGAGCCTTGTTCAACAATTTGTTCATGTTGTCTGCCCATTCTAGCCCTAACTTCTCTCGAAACTTACAATCCTCTCTCAAGTCTTTTGTTGTGAATTGATGTCTTCAAAAAAAAAACCAAAATATGATAAAAAGATTGAGTTTATTGAACAAACACAAAAGCCCTATTAGGTTTTACAAAAGATAGAGAAGAAGGAAGAAGCCAGATTGATTTAAATTGTTTTACTATTCACTTACTCAATAAGGGTTCAAAGATTACAAGTGAATACCAATAATTAACCTCTCTTAACAACATGAGAGAACTAATCTATTTATATACTACTAAGCTAACTTAGGCTACAAGTTAACTTAAACATTGAGCTTACAACCAAGACCCAATTCGACATGCTAACTTAAACACAAAGCTAACATATTTCGACACCATGCTTAAACAGACTTCGACTACAACATGCACAACTCCTTTCGAACCATGAAGCTATCCTTGTCGACACTAGAGTTCGATCTAAATACCATAAATTTTCATCTTGGAACAAACTCTATACTAACAAGGGACAAACTAGCTTTTATTATGCAACTTTATCAATTACATACAATGGAAAAACTTTCTATTTGGCAATGTCTTGGTGATCATATCAACAGCATTGTCGTCAGTCAAAATCTTCAGCACTTGGACTTCTCCATGCTCGATTATCTCTCTGACAAAGTGCAGCCCCACATCGATGTGCTTGGTTCGCTCATGATAAGATAAATTTTTCGATAGATGTATTGCACTTTGACTATCACATTTAACAGTGATAACTCTACCTTGAAATTTCAGCTCCTTAGCAAAACCTACAAGCCACAATGCTTCTTTCACAACTTCAGTAAGGGCAATAAATTCTGCTTCAGTGGTTGATAAGGCAACAACCTTCTGAAGTGTTTCTTTCCAACTAATTGATGTGCCAAACATAGTGAACAAATATCCAGAAATAGATTGTTTGGAATTCATACACCATGTATAATTAGAGCCGACAAATCCTTCAATTTCAACTTTGCTATCATCACCACAGGCTCTACCATGAATCAAGACTATGCTCAGAGATCCATTGATGTACCTAAGAATCGACTTTAATGCTTGCCAATGTGCCTTTTCAAGATTGGCCATATACTTGCTTACAAGGCTCACTCCGTACGTTATGTCTGGCCTCGTACAAAGCACAACGTACATCAACGAACCAACTATACTAGCATATGGAATTCTATTCATATATTCTCTTTCGACTTTAGTTCTAGGACTTTGAGTCGAACTCAGCTTGTACTTAGGATTAGTTAGTGTTAGAATAGGCTTTGAATTCGACATACCAAACTTGTCGAGAATCTTCTTCAGCTATGCCTCTTGAGATAAGCATAATCTCGATTACTTTATATCTCTCAGAATGTCAATCCCAAGAATTCTTGAGGCAACTCCTAAATTCTTCATGTCGAACTCTTTATCGAGTTCAACCTTCACCTTCATAACATCTTCGACATTGTTGCTTGCTATGAGGATGTCATCCACTTAAAGCAACAAAATAACAATTGAATTTCCAGGTCAAAATCTGAAGTAAACACAGTGGTCGAACTGACTCCCAGTGAAAACAATATGTCCCATGAACTTGTTGAATGTCATATTCCATTATTCAGCTTGCACACATAATCTTCCTTTCCCTTTTTTGCATACCCTTCAAGTTGCCTCATCAAGATTGTTTCATCTAGATCACCATACAAGAAGGTTTTCTTTACATCCATCTATTCAAGTTCTAAGTTGAACTTCGCCACCATGGCTAACAACATTCTAATGTATCTATGCTTTACAACAGTTGATAACACATCATTGAAGTCAACACATTCCTTCTGAGTGAACCATCTAGCAACTAACCTTGCTTTAAAACTCTTCGATATCACTCTTTCGATTCCTTCCTTAACCTTGAAGATCCACTTACAACTGACTAACCTAGCCACTGCAGGTTTCTCGATCAGCTCCCAAGTGTTATTATCATGAAGAGATTTCATCTTATCATCCATGGATTTCAACCATTTAGTTTTGTCTTGACTTCTCATAACTTCCTTATAGTCTCTAGGTTCTTCATCCAAAACCTCACTTGTAGAGATTAAGGCATAAGCTATCAGATTTGCATAACCAAGTCTCTGAGGTGGCTTGATGACTCTTCTCAATCTATCTCTTTCCAGTAGGTAGTCATTATCAGTCTCCACAACTTTGACAACAAATTCTGCATCTTCTTCGACTTCATCTGAGTCATGCAATTCAACATCATTATGCTCCCTCTCAACATGAATCTCTTCTTGTTCCTACTCTTCTTCAGAGATCTTTAAACTTCTACCAATATCATCAATTTTCTTGAAATCCATCTCAACTTCATTAAAAACTACATCTTAACTTGTGATACAACTCCTGTGACCTGGCTCTAGGAACCACAACCTATAAGCTTTAACTCCTTCAGGGTATCCAAGAAACGTACATCTTAGAGTTCTAAGTTCGACCTTGTCTTGCCTAATATGAGTATAGTCTAAACAACTAAATATTCTAAGTTTGTCGAGACTAGGTGGATGTCCCAATCAGACTTGTTCAGGTGTCTTCATTCCCAAGGCTGTCGAGGGACACCTGTTTATCAAGTATGTTGCAGTTACGTCAGCTTCTGCCGAAAAT